TGCGACAGCGGGGCGGGGGCGCCGACGGCTGTGGTGGTGTTGGATGCAGACTGCAGCTGCATGGTTCCCTCCCGCCTCTGCACCGGGGATTAATGACGACGAGTGCCATGGATGGGGGGCTTTGCAGTAGAAAGGTGCAGCTTCGGCTGCCTCCCAGAACCAACCTAGCTTGCTGGTGGTGGACAGGGCTCGACTCTGAGGATCGCCTTGCTCGCGGTCCCATCGACCCCACCCCTTTCCCCCCACCACCGCAGTATGGGTGTGGTGCGGTGATCAGCTGCTCTGCAAGGCGCAGTACAGGGAGTGCTGGCTCAAGCACCTGGTGGGTGGGTGGGTGGAGCCCGCTGCGGGGACCGTGAAACACGCACGCGCAGGCAGCGGGCGCGCTGCGGGGGCAGCCTTGCGCCCGGCGATTGCAGCCGGATCCGACGGCGCGCCCTTCCCCTCGCCGGCATGGACCCCTCTGGCCGCAGGCCCACCCGAAAGCGACCAAGCCGGCCAGGGAGGGGCCCGACGTCGGCTGGACGTCTGGCATCGTCGGCCCGGACGCGGCGCCAGAGCCGTCTGAGGCGGCCGGCGCGCCGGGCGCGGCGCCCGCGGGGCCGCCGCGGCGGTTCCACATTGTCACGTCGGCTCAGGGGTCTGCGGTGCACTGGCAGGTCAGGGTGCATTACTACTGGTGAGTCAGCAAGCAGGGGGCGCGGGCGGCTTGTGGCCGGGCAGCGATGGGGCGAGCGTGTGTGTGCTCGGGAGGGCGGCCGGCGGGGCGGGGCGGCAGGCGGCAGTGGGGACTCGCGAGGTGAGGGCCGCGCCTGAGGCGCCCGCGGGCGCCCGCGACGAGCGCGGCGTCGGGGCAAAGAGCTCGTCCCTTCGCGGGGTCGCGGTCTCGGGGGCCGCCGGCCCGACGCTCTGACCGTCGTGCTTTCGACTCCCTTACCGTTAATTGAGTCAAAATGCAACCCCCTTGCCAGGTACAAGAAGCAGAAGCACGTGTGCGAGCGGGACCTCAAGGAGCGCTGCGAGATGGGCGGCTTCACGCGTCTGCTGCACTCTGGGCAGGCGGACGATCTGATGGAAGAGGTGCCCACGTTTGTGGCGGATCCGCTGCCCGAGAGCGTGGTCGCGCACGACTGGTACCCAGTGCTGAACCGGCCGTGGGCGTTCATGCAGTGGGTGCAGAAGGTGGGCGGCGCGGCGCGGCGCGGGCGGATGGGGGCGGCGGAGGGGGGGAGGGGGATGCGCGACGGTGCCAGGCGCGGTTCGGGCGGTGCGTGGGCACGTCGTGGCTGCGGGACGGGCAAGGTCCTTACAAACTGAAACCAGCACGCCACCGAGCCGTCGGCGCCAGCCCAGCAAGCGTAACCCCTGACACACTGACCACTGTTGTCTTTTTGTTTTGTATGGAATTGTCTGACAGGCAAAGATAGAGGAGGAGTATGTGCTCATGTCGGAGCCAGATCACATCTTCCTGAGGCCAATACCCAATTTCATGCGGGGCGACGCGCCCGCGGCGTTCCCGTTTTTCTACATAGAGCCCCATAAGGACGACAACCTGCCGGTGAGCGGTTTTGTTTGGTGAGCTGATTTACTCGCCCCGTTTTTACGTGATATGCAAACGTTTGTGTGTGTAAATGTGCGCATTAATTGTATGTTGTGCGTGTGTGCGTGTGGACGCGTGTGTATGCTGGGAATGATGCCCCTCTGAACAGACTTGTTGGGGACTTCTGGTTTGTGTACATGCGCAGTTGAGGGGAAGGGGGGCGGGGCAGCGCAGGCACACCACACGCGCGTGCATTCGGGCACACAGCACCCCTGGCGGCAAGGCCGAGACCGTCCCCCCCCCCCCCCCACCTGCCCAGAAGC